CGCATAAATGTTGCGGTCTGTGTACCAATGGCAGGAGTAGGGGGCGTTGGGAGACCATCGTCCGGGGGAACGTAGTTCCTCGCGTTCTTGTCTTCGCCTTGGCCTTTCTAATAAGTGCGGCCGTTGTGATCCGCTGTGATAGCAACGGTTTTTTTTTTTGCGGTGGTCGGGTTTTTCCTTGAGGGGTTTTGCCCGGACGCCGGGTTTCCCCTCCATATATTACCATGTTGGTATTTTCTGATGTATCCTGGGGCGTTCTTGCTCAATTGATGGTGAGTCACTTGCGTGATGGACCCGGGAGGGTGTTCGTGGGTCTGCGAACATTGTTGTTGGATACATGTGCTGGATGATCTTGTGTCACGCAGACTGGTAAGATTACCGTTTGATAGGGGGCACCGCGATGATTCACGGGGCCCCTCCTTGCTGTGGGAGCCGCTCTTTGAGTACTCCCTCTTTCGTCCGTGTGAAGGACGGTCGTCGACCTCTCGTGAAGTTAATACATCACCGAAACAGTCTCACCCGAAAAATAAGTGGCGTAGGCCGCAAACATGAGGGACCCCAAAAAACACAGCATGAACCAAAAAACAAAACAAAAGCAGGAAAATAAACAGAGTAGAGACTAGTCCAGTCTTGAGCGAGAACAAGAAAAAGAGAGCGAGCCAGGCGCGACAAGCTTCATTCAGTAGGGAGGCAAGACAGCATAGAAAAAGTACGCTCGCCGTACTGAATCTCCGGAAGATGTCACATAGAAATTCATTGCTGGAAACATCCTGGCCTTGCCCATTTCCTGGCAGCGCCCATCGTCTCCCATACAGCGACCGGACGCACGGGTTGCCTCTTGAGTTAGCAAGAAAAAAACAATCATCACGGTTCGCGTTGTTGTGGCGACCGCACCGTCCGTCGAAACGCGAGAGAAGAGAGCGGAGAGAACACAACGTAGTCACTCTCTGCCTCACCCTCTCTCGTCCCTCTCACCGTCCCTGTGACACCGTCCCTCTGACCCACCGAAAATCAGATATGTAAACAAGCGTGGCGAACGGTGATATCGGATGCACTGATGCTGTAGTCTCATCTAGCAAGAATCAACAACTACAATAATACAATGTAGTCAGGTCGACGTTCGCGGACGTTCGCAAACTGTCGACCATCTCTGTTGGTAGTGCAATGGTGTGACACAACGGACAATAACGAACGACCACAATTAACTGTAGTATAGTCTGGCTACACCACAGGACGAACTATGTACGTACGTACGTGCTACCTCAATACGCCGTCCGTATTAGATGTAATGTGCACTGCTACACGACCAAGGCATCGACCGTTGTCATAGCCTACTGCGTGTGTACATGACATCTTTTGCCAATATCACATCGTATCCTCGTAATCCGCTAGTCGCAGAGGTCGTGAGTTCGAATCCCCATGGGGTGAAAAAATTACGAAATTTGCGGGTGAAAGCGAAACAAAGCTAAAAAGCTCACGTGAGTACCAAACTTCGACGTTAGCACCGTTGACGCGGGAAAGGCGCGGCTGGACCCTTCTCGCGATAAAAATAAAGTAAAAGAGGAGTGGCCAAAATCGGGTACACCCGGCCCCAATCCGGCCATTATCGGGTACACTTGTTTTACACAGTCGGCAGCGCCCTCCTGGCGCCATCTGATTGGCCGACGCCCGCCCTTACCCGGCCCTGACCCTATTCCCACCGGGTGCACCCGATCTTGGCTACTCACCCCCCGGAGGGGTACCCGATCGTACTCTCGCCTACCCGAATGGCTGGGCTATTCGACCAACAGACCACCAGCAGACCACGCTCATGAACACACGTCACCAACACCCCGCACTCGAGTTCCGACGCTTCCGACGGCGGGCGGAGGCGGACCTAACACGGCTAACGCGGCGGAACTCTTGTTCGAAGTGGATCTCGCTCCTGCAAGACTCCTACTGCAACCCACCGCCGACGGCGGAACTCTCTCGGTTCTCGTCTCGTATCGGAGAGGGAGGAGAGAGAGGGCCAGACGGGCGGCGGTGGATGAATACCTCTCAATACCTCACGTGATCACTTGAGCCAGCTGCACACAAATACATGACGCAGCTCAGAGATAGATGTCCACGGAAGTATCAGGCACAGGAGCATCAGGGTGTCGCTTTCGTCTGGAATACATTTCTAGACACATCAAGACCGGAGATGTATGGCACGTTGTTGTGTACGCAGAGGGTCGTCCGTACATAGCAATGCAGCAGCAGCAAGCAGTGGATGCCGTGGTTATGTCTCGATCAAGGCCGGAGATATATGACACATTGTTGTGTAGGAAGAGGATCGTACATACAGTCAGTTAATGCAGCAGCAGAAGGCAGTGGATGGATGCCGTGGGACCTCAGATTGAACAGCGACAATACTTCCTTGACTTCGACCTCTCGTGAGTACGTGGGAGANCCGTACATAGCAATGCAGCAGCAGCAAGCAGTGGATGCCGTGGTTATGTCTCGATCAAGGCCGGAGATATATGACACATTGTTGTGTAGGAAGAGGATCGTACATACAGTCAGTTAATGCAGCAGCAGAAGGCAGTGGATGGATGCCGTGGGACCTCAGATTGAACAGCGACAATACTTCCTTGACTTCGACCTCTCGTGAGTACGTGGGAGAGACAAGGAACTGCGGGCTTGCCACAGGAGATGGGGAAAGATAGAGAGAGTGGCGGTACATGGAGCATGAACGCTGTCCTAAGATGGCTGGTGGTGAAGTAGCACGCGCCTTGCGCGAGGACCGCGGTGTTCTCTACTTCATCGCTCATATTCTGTCGATGTCAGTCGACCGTTCCGACACAAGTGCCGAGATTAACCACGAGAGACTTGGTGGGTTGAGGAGCGAGATCTACTTGCAGGAGCGAGATCTACTTCAAACGAGAGTTCCGCCGCGTTGCAGGAGAGAGATCCACTGATCCACTTCAAACGAGTGTTCCGCCGCGTTAGCCGTGTTAGGTCCGCCTCCGCCCGCCGTCGGAAGCGTCGGAACTCGAGTGCGGGGTGTTGGCGACGTGTTTCATGAGCGTGGTCTGCTGGTGGTCTGTTGGTCGGGTAGCCCAGCCATTTTCGGGTAGGCGAGAGTAAGATCGGGTAACCCTCCGGTGGGTGAGTAGCCAAGATCGGGTGCACCCGGTGGGAATAGGGTCAGGGCCGCGTAGGGGCGGTCGTCAGCCAATTAGATGGCGCCAGGAGGGCGCTGCCGCCTGTGAAAAACAAGTGTACCCGATAATGGCCGGATTGGGGCTGGGTGTACCCGATTTTGGCCACTCCTCAAAATAAAAATCAGCACGCACCCCGGAGGAAGGTGGGGCATGAAAGAAATAAAAAGAAGAAAAAAGTGTANAGCGGGGTGTTGGCGACGTGTTTCATGAGCGTGGTCTGCTGGTGGTCTGTTGGTCGGGTAGCCCAGCCATTTTCGGGTAGGCGAGAGTAAGATCGGGTAACCCTCCGGTGGGTGAGTAGCCAAGATCGGGTGCACCCGGTGGGAATAGGGTCAGGGCCGCGTAGGGGCGGTCGTCAGCCAATTAGATGGCGCCAGGAGGGCGCTGCCGCCTGTGAAAAACAAGTGTACCCGATAATGGCCGGATTGGGGCTGGGTGTACCCGATTTTGGCCACTCCTCAAAATAAAAATCAGCACGCACCCCGGAGGAAGGTGGGGCATGAAAGAAATAAAAAGAAGAAAAAAGTGTAGTAAAAAGAAGAAAAAAGTGTAGAACACGTCTCACCACGAAAAATGGGGGGACTGACGCCATAATAAATACTGGTAGGACGAAAACACCCCCACAAAGTCAATCAAGTATTACTTACGCAGGAAGATCCACGAGTTTCGTGTGTTGCGGCGGACCGTCTGTGTTGCCGTCCGTGTTGTTCACCTCTTCAAGTGCTGCTTGCTGTTCATGGATGACGACACAATGAAAGAAGTAGAAGACGCGCATCGCTACCTACGCGAGCATAGATGGCGACAGAGACGATATAGCTCTGCAGCACATTCCGAGCGTGAACGGCAGCCGTATGTTGTGTAAAAAACGGTCACTCAGCAAGAAGGGCAAAAAAGAAGAAAAAAAAAATGGCGCGCAGCACGAGGACCCTCTTTCTCTGTTGAACCGGCCATTCCCATGACGAAACAGACAAGGAACAGTCAACGCCGACTCGTGTCGGCCACAGGAGGTGGAAGCTGCTTAGACTTGGGAGGGGTGATGGTTTGCGATTCCCTACCGAACCATACTTTAGGCGCGACAAGATTTGCACTGTAGCTCGAGATCGGTATTTGAGACCGGGTCGGGCCAGGGGTGGGCCATGCGAATGAAAATGACACAGACAGAAAAAGTGATAATCGGTCGACAGAGACCCAAGCTCCAAGCTCTAGACTACCGAGCTTGGGAATAATAATTTATTTCTCGCGAAGGCGGTCCACTTCTGTAAGTTCGGACACCGTCGTCGCCTCTTGCACACGCATATCTCTCTTGGTGACATGTATACGGCGACCTGATAGTGCGAGGGACACATCCACCGCCGACGGTTAGACGGCTGACTGTGGGTAGTTTCATCAGCTCAACACAAAAAATGGTGCTTTTCACCGCTGCTGTGAAGACTTCAACACATTCCTTCAATTGACTTCACCACATCCCTTCAATTGGGAATCCTGTCGAACTTTACTTTGCCCTGCCTTGAAGGCTTCGACACATCCCTTCGATTGGGGCATTCTGTCGGTCTTTGCTGCTGTGCCCTGCTTTGAAGACTTCATACATACCTTCAGTCGGGGTATCATCTCAAACTCTACCGTCACTGCGGTGTATGAATATTTTTCTATCTGAAATACAGTGCACACAAAGCCGCGTCGCCTCAAGACAGGAACGTTGTACAGCACAAGCAACGTACCAAACCTTCCGCAGCAGACACCATGTCGTGCTTCACGACGAGCAAGAAAATCAGGACCCCGTCAAGGCCAAAACCCCACAGCCACACTAGATAAATCCTTTCTCTTCTCTCCTCGGCATGCGGCCCGATCCGATTCGACAAGCAAGGTATACGATATTTCACAGCCCGTCCAACGAGTAACGCTAACACTAGCCCCGGGGATAAGAAACGACAACAACTCACAACCACACACCACGGAGAGGCGGGGGAGAGGAGCGAAGCGAGAAGCCCGCTCCCTTTCACCCGAACAAGTCGACACAAATGAACATTTATGGAACAACAACAACGAATGGTCAGAGAAAACGACTCTTGCGTGGGTCTTTCTTTCCCTTCCCGTCTGCGACATGCTGAGGAAACGGGAACTGTCGGCACACCACGCTACGCTTTCTTCTGCTCTACAACCTGGTGCCTGCTTTCGACGCGAACGCTCTGCATCCCGCATAGCAGGGGGTAGTGTACTCACGTGAACGCATGCCGCAGTCGTTCGACCATTGCCCTCGCATCCCGACAATGCCGAGGCGGAGAGATAATATGCCGTGTTTTCGCCGGCCGGGGGGACGAGTAACACTCTCGCAACACACGCACACGAAGCATTCGTCACCAACAAACACCCATAATAACACGAAGGCTCCCTCCTCTCCATCACCCAAACAGAACGAACGGCGCCGTCGACATAATTCGTGCGCGTGGGGCTGCACCAACAAGTCCATTCAAAGCCCAAAACAAGGAAAATACCCAGCCGGTGGGGTAGGGGGAGGCAGAGCGGGAAAGGATTCAACCCGTGGACATGCATCACGGACATGTCATCAACCGCCGTGTAAATAAAAACGGAAAACACAACCCCGCAACATCATAATCCCCTCCCATCAGCAGTGCTCCACTTCATGAGGTGGTGCGGACCAACTGAGGGCGGCAAACGCCGAACCGTCAGGCAAGCCAAGCTGCCACGCTGTCAGCGATCACACCATCCCGCGGCATACTCCCCAGAAAAGAGAGAACCGTCCGATGCGTGCTACTGCTACGATGACCTAGGTAAACAAATGTGCGCTGTCATGGCATCGCTCTACCAGCGCCAGCCGGGTGCGGCTGATTCGGTGACATCCGCACAATGCGGCCTCAGCAGCAGCGGCAGCAACCAATCTTGGGCCGTAACAGCCAGGCACGCAGCGAGAACGTCTGTAGCAAATACAACACACACTTATGTATGTTGCTGCCGCCCAAAACACCAGCAAATCCGACTAACACACATTACCTTCTCATGGTGCGGAAGTCGCCCTCAATGGCGACAGCGCACACTGCGGGGCCGGGCGAGCAGACATTGCAGTGGGCCCGCAGCACCCCCCCACCGCCGACACGCACGGGTGCTTGCACCTCGAATCCACGCAGTGATCCACCTGGACCTGATACACGGCGAACGGCAGGCAGTTGCGCGCAAGAGGAAGTTTCAGGGTCTATAGAAGACCCACGACTAACTTAAAGAGAGGCCAAATCAACACTAGACCACACCGTAGGCTGCTTAAGATACCACACCCTCTGGAGCGATTTTCAAAGCTTCATTACTCCACGATAAAGGGGATGCTGAAATCAAAGAATGCGATGTCGGAGAGCGCTCGACGAGACGGTTCCAACGGCTGCCATTTTCGGCACCGTCACTGTTTTTCCTGCCGAGGTACCGAGTGTCGAAAATCGGTCCAGGGGGTGTGATATCTTACGCAGCCTTCGGTTCCCCCAGCGCTGAGTCTAATGATTTGATTTTTGGCAGCAATGGGTCCCTGTCTGCAGCAAAACACCCGGCACGACGTGCCGGTTGGCTTCATGGCGCTGCGACCGAGGGGGTGCGTTCTTGCCGCCACCACCGATCACCCATCACGACGTTCGATGGGCAGAACCACTGCTACTCGTCCCTTTGAGAGTCGGGCGCCTCCAACAGTGATTGGGTGGTCCCAACGAGTGTTTTCGCGAGAGCTTCTTTGCGGCAAAGGGTGTGACATATTTCCTTGGATCTGCTAGTGACCCGTAAAGCGCTACGATTAGAAGCGAGAAGGCTTCGGGAGGGGGTAACGTAACAACATGAGAAGCGTAGGAGCAAGACATTGTAACGCGGTGCCACTCCGCAGGTGCCGAACTGCCCTTCAAGACTATCTGGACCATGCCGTTGAACTCTTCGCGGGGTTAACAATAGTCTCAGCCGGGGAGCGGGGGGGCGTGCTCATGTTTAAAATTCCTTGGCGATTAGGCCATTGACTACCCGTTCTTGCGACAAAGGGGCCATGTCCCACAGGAGAGATCACCGATGGCCGATCGTCCCTTCCCACCTTGCCAAAGGTGGCTCAAAAACGTTTCCCCTGGCCTATCGATCCTAGACCATTGAGATGGACGGGATTTTCCGCGCTCAAGACTCCTCCACAGCAGAAGATCCAAGAGACGCTTTTTACCTGAATGGTAGAGTGTACAACCCCCATGGCCTCGCAAATCCCATGTGCTGAGACGAGAGCCTTCTCAGGGTCAGTCGCCTTGATGTGGGCGGACACGACGGTTCGTCCGAGGGTTAGTGACCAAACGTGCAGGCAGTGAAGGTCGGTAACTCCTGTCGCGAACAAACACAGAAGCAGTAGGGACGAGCAACGAGTATGAGAGACCACTGTTAAATATTGGCAAGCAAAAACAACAACAACAAAAGCAACAACACTGTACCTAATCCTACTGCTACTGCTACACAGTAACAGCACCGGGGGACAAGGGAAGTAACAGTGATGACATCAAGAAGTCGCCAAGCCACGGCCGGCGTCGGTGACACATGAGGGAAACCGCAAACACCATCGTCAAAAGTATAAGAGTTCCGGGCACACCGAGCCTAGTCCCCTGGCATTTCCACGATCGAAGCCCCCGAAACAGACGATCACCCAGGCCGATCGACGGCCAAGACTCAACCGCTCCACATGGATCAGAAGTTAGCCCTCTTGTCATCAAACCGGGGGGGGGGCATGCACGCACCTTCGATAGACAAGAGGCGGTGACGAAGCTGGTCGTAGTCAATGCTGTCGGGGACTCCCTCGAGGAGGACATTGAACGCCCGCTTCAGCAGCCATCGGGTGGAGTTCAGCACCTGATATGGTGCGAAGGAGGAGAATGGGATGCGCGAACCAATCAAAACGACGAGCTCTAATCAACCGAAAATACAACAATAGCATTAACAACAACAACAACAACGACAACAACGACAACAACGACAACAACGACAACAACGACAACAACGACAACAACAACAACAGCAGAATCAACAACTACTACCGCAACGCTGAACAACACCACCACCAGCAGCACACCAGCAGCAGCGCAACAGCAGCAAACAACAACAGCGCCGCACTACTAGCACCAGCAACACCAATCACTATGCATACAAGGCTTAACAACAACACCACCATCAGCAGCACAACAATGACAAGAAAAATCAAACAATGGCTTCTTTGATGGGACACCCACCAGGCCGACGAAAAAGAGCGTGGCGATCGGGTCGGCCCACTTCCAGCGAGGGTCGTACCAGATGAGCAGCCCAGCCAAAAGCACGCCAGCGCTTTGAACCTGCCCACCCGGAGGAACCCAGAGAAAAAGCGAGGAATGTTCTGAAGGGTGAGCTCGTCACATATACCGGGAGCAACAAAATAGAAAGTTCTTAGGTGATATACCGAGAGCGAAAAGAGGGGAAAGTTCTAATAGGGCGAGCTCGTCAAATATACCGAGAGCAAAAACGAGGAACATCCGTAATGTGGGCTTGTCAGGTCACGGGGGTGGTGGCTTCATCAACAAGGTCAGTTTGCCCGAGCACTGCTGCTGACACGAACAATCGTGGAGTACACACCCTTGCATGCAGTTGAAAGATGGCTTCAACAATCATTGAGTGCACACCCCATGTAAAGAAGATTGTCACGAAAAAACTTTTCTTCCTGTATTGCTTCAGGGGTGTGGATTTTGGATTTGGAAACCCCGACCGGCTGCTACCGAGGGAGTAGAGACGAAACTCTCTCATGTACACGCATCTGGCCCCCAGCTCACGTAGACCCTTCCCCGGAGAATCTACAAACAAAAACGAACATTGGCCATCGCAGGCAACGTGATACCGCGCTCGTCGCCAAGACTCAACTCCCTTGATTGTGATTTTCGGGGAATCGAAGCCAGAGTTTTCCTTAATGTTGCAGACTTGTTCTTCTGGTGCTACAACAACACGGCGGCACAATTGAAGCGTCTGTCACACGGGACGCCACAGCAAAAACTCATAAACGTTCGCTCATTCGACTCTGCCTTCGATGGGGGAAGAGAAATCTCTCTCTCTCTCTCTCTCTCTCTCTCTCTCTCCGCCTTCCTCTTTCTCACCGTGTCGCCCCCGAGGCGGACCCACAACAACTCACCAAGTCCGTAACCGCGTGCAACACGGCCGCCTCCATGTTGATGTTCTTCTCCTTCTTCAGCTTCACGACAACCTCTCCGCCCACCACTTCCTCCCCCACCCCCGCCCTAACCTCCGGGAAGCGGTCCACTCCATTCTCCAACCCGCCGACTGCCGCCGTGCCCCCCCCGTCCCCCACTTCTAGACTACCGTACACGTCCTGGCCCCCCGCCATGCTGGAAGCGCCGCTGCTGCTGCTTATGTCTAACGGCAGGCCCGCGTCTCCCAAGCCTCTGTCGGTAGTACTGCGGTTGCTGTTGACGCTTTGGTTGTTGACGAGAGAGGCCCGCTCGCCGACGCCTGCTGTTTTGGCGTAGGCAGGCGCACGCACAGCCGTCGATCGCATCATTTCTTTCGGCACGTGGTTGCTGAATCCGGTTCTCTCAATAAGGTTGGGTCTTTCCTGGGGATCGTGCGGCACGGCGACGTGGCTCATCCCCACACGACCAACCGCACGCCCGCCCGGTGGCCCATTCCGATACGACCAACAACGCCTGTCCGGCCAAAAACATATACCCCGACGCATCAGCAGCCGATCGACAGGACAAAAAAAAAAAAAGAAGGGGTCACCTCTAAGCTTCGCCGGGAACACGAGCCCTTCTTCCTCATCGCGGTCGTCGTGAGCGTGGGAGTGCCCGTGTCCGTGTCCGTGGCTGTGATCGTGACCCCCGTGCTCGTGCCCGAAAATCCTGATATCGGAAACAGAGAGGTTGTGTGCGGCATCCCTGATTGTGTGTGTGTGTTGGTGGCGATGGTTTTGGTGCTGTCTGGTGGCGGTGCTGCTGCTGCAATTGACGCTATTGCCATCGCACTCTACTCTAAAAAGCACTCCCCCGTAAAGCGGCACTTACGATAGAAGCGCAACGTTAACGAGGAGCCCCAAGGCAGCGATGAAGGACATCATCCTCCCGTCGATTTCCTCCCCTTGCCCTTTCGAGAAGTCTGGAACAGCAGCAGTCAGTTGACGTAAGAGCAAACAGCAGTGGCAACAAGGGCATGCACATTGAAGTTAGCGGAAACGGAGATAAAATCAGAAGCACCGAAGAAACCACGCGATGGAGAAACCGGTACAGATGCTGTGAGCGCTGGTTTGAAGTGAAGACTAAAAATATATATATAGAACAGACACAAAGATGCGCAGGACATCTCTTGTGATGTAGTTTCCCTCGCATAGTCGCACAGTTTTTTTTTTTTCTTGTCTCCATCATTGGACTTTGTCGTCTGCCCCTCTGGCCCCTATCCTCCACTTCTACCAGCTAGACGACCCCACCTGGGCCACATAGGAGGGGGAGGTTGGACCCCCTCCTACGCTTCGTGTCGGGATACATTTTCTTACGTGATACACCGATAGACTGAAACTGCGGGTGGCCGCAACAACACAGATGACCCAAATAAGTAGTTCTACAGAGACATAAAGAACGCAATAACCAAGACCACAATGACGGCATGATATGTTCCATCCAGTCAAAATCATACCGTCAGGTTGTAAAACAAAACTAAGGTCGTCGAACCGATACTTGACGAGAAGGCTATCGGCAATAATGTAGAACACACAAACACCACCGTCACGCCGGAACTAGACGGCATGACTCGTGAATGCTCACCCCGTCACAACAAAAAGTGGTAAAAGCCCTACTGCACGGTACGGCTATCGAAACAATGCCCTCGGCGTGTTCCTGGCGTACACAAAGCGCCGACACCTAAGCACTTGGTAGGAATTGGTACTTAAGCTAGTCATGCTCAACACCATCTAAAATATATAAATTGGACACCCTTTGTAAGCCCGGTTAAGAACCCCTAACCTAGAAAAAGAGCGGCGATTGTGTGGCACAAAGAATGCGGCACACAAGACCAAGTAGACTATACCATAAAACCAGGCTTTCTTCTGCATACCTGCCGGAGCTATGAATTTTCCCATAATTGAATCGCCATCGTTTCAAAGTCCATTCTCGCCTACTATTTATGCGGACGACAAGGTCTATTCTCGCCTACGATGCGGACGACAGCCGAGTACACGAGGAGCAGGCTGAGCACCACGATGGTCACGGTGGAGAAGAGCGCGCTGAGGACCTCCGCTCGAACCGGTCCGTACGTGAGCTTGTCGCACGCCGGCCTAGACGCGATCTCATTGGCCACCATGGCTAGGATGAACCCCTGCCAACCAAAACGAGTGAAAACACATCAGAATAACCGCAATGAAGGCTTGTGAACAAACAAATCTCGTTTCTCTTTCCTGGATTGTTGTGCTACAGTACATTAGCTGTCTTTACATTAAATCCATTCCGAGTTCCGCATAGTTCCCTTCTGATATATCTAGTTTCCGTACTGCCCAATTGACGCGGTCGCCTGCCGTGATCAAAGGTCACCTACCCACAAAGGGCGCACACCAATCTAGAAATCAAGGAACGGAAAAATAAATTATTGAAATTGCTTTTTCCAAGAAACACTCTCGCTAACGTTGGCGAGTAGATGTGTCACGTCGGCGATCATGGCCAGAGACTCCAGAGGGCAAAAAAAAACTTGCATGCATGAACATTTTCCAAGTAACTCTCCTGCCCGGGAGAAATGTTGTGAGCGCTGTCAATGAAAAGGCCATGTTCAAATTAAGCTCACACTAACGTCTGTGAGTAGATGTGCCGCGTCGGAGACGATAGCCATTGAACCAGGCTAGAGTCTCTTTGAGTGCATGCAGTCTTCATGTTCTTTACTATGTTTTCTTATATAATTACACAACGAACCCATCTCTAGATTTATCCACAAAAAAACAAGGCCGGCGTAAGGTAGCAATAAACACTCACGCTAACGTCGGCGAGTAGATGTGCCGCGTCGGAGATGATAGCCAGCGAATCACACCACACACCCCCGACGACCTCGACCACGAAGAACACCAGGACAAACGCTGTTGCCTTCTTCAGCTTCCTGGGGATGAGAACGCGCACGTAGAACGATCGTTGGGCCTTTAGACATGGGTAAATTCTTTAGGTAGTTAGGCTGTTACCACCTGAAGGCGTCCGCGCCGGTTGGCGAGTACGGATATTAGTAGGTGCTGGGCGGAGAGCGGAAGGGTTGGTAATGTAAGACAACAACAACAACCAACAACAACAACAACAATGATTACTTCCGTATGTGGTAAGGTGTAGGTTTTAGTTAAAGGATCTGAAGAGAGAAGACATCTTGCAATGCTGCAGGAGACAGAGACGACGCCCGCAAACCTTCCATACCCACGGCATAGAAAACGAAAAAAGAAAGCACGCTCACACGTCTTTTCATTGGTCAGTCGGTTAGCGCGGTAGATGCTTACAATCAAGACACACACACACACACACACACACACACACACACACACACACATGCGGGACTTTTTGCTTGCGGCTCTTTGGGCCTGTGCGCAAATCGTTCGGCAATGTACGAAAGATCTGCGCAGAGCTAAGAGAACCGCAGAGGTAAGTGTCTGTTGACTTCGTAGAAATTTCGTGTCCTATAGTTCACGCACGAAACTCAGGGAAAGTGTAGTGCAAAGGACGGGGGGGGGGCGCAACAACTCTTTCGCGACGAGTAGACGAAGAAATCGTGTATTCCTGCTTCAACAGCAGTAATATGAACGGCGTCGCTGGGGCAATCTTCACCTGAGCTGACTGCTAGATTTGTAGGTTGGAAAGTAGTACGGAAGTAGAATTTCACATATTATTGAGCAAGCAAACACTTGATTTCGGGTACCGCATTTTCGGTATTTTGAACACCAGATATTCGGCAAAACCCCAGGTTTCCCGTCGGCGTGTCCATGCTGTGCGTTCATGCTCCTACTCCCTTCCGAAAGGCGCATCGTTTGAGGCATTGCACGCCGCCGTTCACACCGAGGCCGGCGGCTTATCATCCCCTGAATCAGACGGACAACGCAACTTTTCAAAAGGGAAAGAAGCCGTGTGTGTCCTTAACCCTTGCTGAAGTACTGGAAGCCCAAACGGGGACACTTTAGAGACACGGCACTCAAATGCCTTTTTACCGCACCGCAATCACCCCAGGCTCCGCTGTGTGAAACGCACGTGAGAGCCCTAGGTCTATCATGCATGGCTGAGGTGGTATGCTGTGTGATGCTGTGTGATGCCTCTCCTCGGCCTCCGACTTGCTGAACACCATCTCCCAAGCCGCGTGTCCTCTAGGTGAAAAACAGCACATCACCTGGTACTGAAAAAAAATGCTGACTTGGCTTCAGTAGGACACGTGTCCCCAAAACACGTAGGGACACTTTTCATACCAAAGCCAATCACCCTTTGTCTGGCAAGGAGCGCAAAAATATTAATGAAGGGACTGCGCTGTAGCCCCTCGACCAATTGGCTGAAAAACATTATTGCGACGTTTTTTGGGAAATAGACAAAAGTGGGTATACCACCCCATTCTCAGACAAACGTGGGTACTCGAACCCTAGCCTTGCGAAGACCGCTCGTGACAGGGCACACCCACTCAAAATATCACCCGACGCAAGGAAAATATGGGCAGGCCCATGCACGGGCCCTGCCCATTTTTCGTGCATCGGCGGAACGATATTTTGGGTGGTTGTGCCCTCTGGTCACGAGAGGTCTCCGCAATTCAAATTTTCGAGTACTGTACCCTCTTTTGTCTGAGAACATGGTGGGGTATACCCACTTTTTGTCTACTCATATTTCCCTTTTTTTTGCGGAGGGACTGGGTACTACATGTTGTAGATAGGAAAGTTAATCGAGGTTTGATTGTTTGCATATATGTATGCGTATGCTTATGCACACGCTTGTGTTGACTACTATATTTGTGAAGGAGTATCCGTCGATCTTTCTCCCCTTCGCATTCTTCCTCGTGGTCGGGGAGGAAATTTCCGCATGGGTGGTAGGGCCGGGCGGGCATCTGAAATATGGATCTTAACTATTGTAATAGTAATATACAGTGGGGGCCTCGGTTTAGCGACCCCTAGTGTCACGACGAAATATGTTCGCTATTCAGGGTATGGCGCTAAACCGGGAGCCCTAATAGCGACCAGCGGTCGCTAAACCGGGAAAAAGCGCCATGTCGAGGGACTAAAGGCCGTATTGTACAAAGGGAAAACGACACAAAAGGGTATACCCTGGTCGAAAAGCGACACACCTGGGTACACAGTCATTAAGAGCAGTAAATGCACTCGTATCATTGATCAGCGCCCAATTTCACCCCGGTGCGTCCGACAAGGCGCAGGGTACACCCTGCCGTGACTACTTTTCTCAACATCTGTACCCTGTTTTCGGAAATGTACCCTGACCTGTCTGGAAAAAAGGCCCTTTCATCAATCATTTCCCCCGCAGGAATCTTCCCAACTCCTTTTCCCCTCCAACCATGGGATACCAAACGGCGACTCTTCCCGCCCAATAACAACCATGACAACGGGGCAGGAATCAGTTTCCGCCCCTGCGAAACAACACCAACCGTCAACTTTTCCGCTCTAAGTCTACAATGGTCGGGCAACACGTACCCTAGCACAATTGTTCCGTTTGGAAACATACCCACGCGCGTACGATAACCCGTGGAGCGACTGCTTGCTGCAGTCCAGGCTATATGCGAGACGCACGGGTCACGCTGTGAAAGCGAGACCGATCCAGCATGGTTGGCATGAATATGCATGTGTGCGTGCGTGTTTTGTCTGTTGCGTGTCTCGATTGCGATGTGCCGTGTGTGCGTGCGTGCATTGTATGATGTGTCTCAATCGCGATGTGCTTCTTGCCTGAACTACTACTGCTGTAGCGGCAGCGGTCTCGCTTACCAGCCGACCAAGCTGACCAATCAATCGATGTAGTAAGAAAACGTCAGGCTTCAACGGGATGAGCCGATGAAATACAACCCGAGCACTCTTTCTTCTCTCTACCGACAGGGAGGGTGATCAAATTGCACGACACAGCAGTGTCCTGCTGCTAGAGTAAGGATAAGACTTGTGTGTGCGTGACTGATGTCAAGGGCGAGTCTGTGCGTGCTGGTCCTGCCTCCCCCCTCTACCCTCGTTGCGGGCGCGAGCTCGCCGCCAGCACAGCGCCACACACTGGCACGTGCTAGACTATGCATGTCAACCATGCTGGATCGGTCTCGCTTTCACAGCGTGACCCGTGCGTCTCGCATATAGTCTAGACTGCAGCAAGCAGTCGCTCCACGGGTTATCGTACGCGCGTGGGCATGTTTCCAAACGGAACAATTGTGCTCAGGGTACGTGTTGCCCGGCCATTGTAGACTTAAGAGCTGAAGAGTTGACGGTTGGTGTTGTTTCGCAGGGGCGGAAACTGATTCCTGCCCCGTTGCCATGGTTGTTATTGGGCGGGAGGAGTCGCCGTTTGGTATCCCATGGTTGGAGGGGAAAAGGAGTTGCGAAGATTCTGCGGGGGAAATGATTGATGAAAGGGCCTTTTTTCCCGACAGGTCAGGGTACATTTCCGAAAACAGGGTACAGATGTTGAGAAAAGTAGTCACGGCAGGGTGTACCCTGCGCCTTGTCGGACGCACCGGGGTGAAATTGGGCGCTGATCAATGATACGAGTGCATTTACTGCTCTTAATGACTGTGTACCCAGGTGTGTCGCTTTTCGACCAGGGTACCTTGTTGTGTCGTTTTCCCATTCAAAAACCCTGGTAAGGCTACTGAGCACAAGAAGAACGTCTTTCGTCGCGGATGAACCGCAACACCACACAACACGGGGCGGCGGCAGATCTCCGCAACCGCAACAACGCCCGCGCAAACCACGTGCGTGCGTGTGTTCCCTACGTGAAAAAATGCCCCGCCGCTCTATGTAACACACGCGCACTCATCAAAACGCTTCACGCGCCTCATGATGGTGCACCGTACACAAGCCTTGAAACCAAATACCATCTGTTTCCCACATCAGAACACGACGGAGAACGAAAAAGTTGAACCAAAGTCAGACAATAAACCCATGCACCACATGTTGTTAGACAAGCAGACGACATTTCTTTGATTTCTCGCCTCTGATTGGCCGCCGACTCCGCCAAATTGGTGGTCTCCAGTCCAGCCCCCGCCGCTGCCGCACCACCGTTTCCATGATGATGGCGGCGGCCGTCATGACGATGATGATCGTAGGGGTCGCTGTAATCCTCCGGCTCCTCCATCGCGATCGCATGGACGACGTCATTCTCCGCGGCGTGTTTTCCATGGTCGTGGCTGTGGGAACCACTACTGGTGTGGGAGTAGTCGTGGGTGTGGCTGCCCATCAGGGAGAGCAGATCGCCGCCGCCGCGCCTCTTCGTTCCTTTTGGGGGGTGTTTCGAGATTCCGTCAAGCATCGTCAGCAGCGATCTCTTTGCACGAAAGATCAGGCGTGGTAAGGACGGTCAGCACGCAGAGAGGGACAGGGAGGCCTGCCCAGAGAGAGAAAGAACGAAAGGGCGGCTTCGCCCTGCAGGTTGGAAGGATACCGAGGCATGGAAACACGAACATTTGGAACATTTCCACCCACGAACCATGGGCGAGAGATGGCCTGTGCAAGGCACAAGCATCGCAAAAAGATATCAAAACGGGGGCAGCACACAAGCGGTCAAGCCTGAAGCGGTGTTTGCAATTCCTTGCTCACAAACCGCCTGAGATCGCCCCAAGGTATCCGCAAAGGTGAACACCCCCCGCTGTTTCATGTCGGTGTTTTTTGTGTATCCATAGATAGTGCCCTATGGCTGCTGTACAGGTCCCGACCACCGGATGTGCTCTCGCCCAAAGCTGTACCCTACTTTTTTCCTCATCTCGGAGGGCCGGACCAGCAGAAGCAGCAGCGGCGGCAGCCAGCACGTGCTAACGGTTCAAGCGTTGAGGCACTCACGTGGGGGGGAAGATGCCGCGTAGTAGAGCACGGCGCGCTGTGCGGAGCCTGTGTGTGACTCTCGGCGGCTAGGGGCCACACCTCACCTGACAACGACCAACGCTAACAGCAACAGGTGTGCAGGTCTGCTCCGTGCTTTGCCAAGCGGTCAATTGAATTTGTGAGAGAGAGCCGGTGTTGCCGACATAGGTACCTCACTATTCTCATCCATGCCCCCCCCTCCAAAGACTTACCTGTTGCTGCTGGCCTTGCTTGCTGCTTGGTGAAGTGCTTCCGGCACACAGCAGCTGCGAGAAGAGAGAGAGATTTTTGCACTCCGTGAGGTGCGTTGGTTGGTCTTGTGGGTACGGCCGCATCAATGTACACACTCGTATCTCTTTGCGTATGCTTCACATTGCTCTAAACACACGTGCAAAGCTGCACACAGCAGCAGACTCATCATAACGGCGACTGCGGCGCAACAAGCAAATAACGTCTGACCTCACAAGCAGGGTAGATGTCAGCGCCGCTGCAGTACAGCTGTAGCACTACTGTTCACCAGTACTATAGTCTGGGCCCATCAACGGTCTCCCTTAGCATTGAGAATAGGATGTCCTGTGTCCATAGCAGTATACTCTGTTGCTGACAGCTATGTGTTGCACAGCCCAGCCACAAAGCAACCTGTCGTCTGTTGGACTGGCGACTGTCGCAGCAGCATGCGACAACATGTGGTGGTAGGCACCGAGTGGGTCCCTGCTGCTCAGGTTCTAGCTCTGCGGTGTCCTGTGTCGAGGGGGGTGCCACACGTTGTCGTTCTCTGAATAGAGTGAGTATGACGCAAGATACCACCTGTATATGACGACCGTTGTAACTGGCAGCTCGCCCGGAGGATCATGCAACTTGCTGCCGCTCTGGTCGCAGTTTTCGCCTCTTGCTTCAGACTTCTCCACCCTAAACATCGTATGTTCAACTTTGGGAGCCTGCTCTCTTCGTGATTGAGAGGTCGGTGTATACACCTGGAAGTCGTCCCCTGGGGGCGGGTGTTATCCTACCTGTGGTAATGTAAGGCACAAGGTATCCGCTCTCTCATCGCGTCGCCAAGGGGCACGGGCTCGCAGGCAGTTGGTCGGTCGTGGATATCGTAGCCGATGATGCGCGCAAAGCTGGAACTGCGACAATAACGCCTTAGCACCGAGCCATAAAGTAGGCAGCAGTACCACACCCACCTTCCGGCCCGTAGAATTTCGATGACACTGCGTCACACGCGACATAAGAGCGATTTTTTGTGACCTTGTTGCATACATGCCCCACAGGAAAAACTGGGCCGGGCGAAAAAGCGTTGGGAAGATCGGATTATTTCGAAGCCCGACCAGCGGCGCAAGACGGCCTTCTGGGAGAGACTAAAAGCGCAGCTTCCAACAGCTAGGGACCATGTCGCTTCTAGCCGGCCTGAAGTTCGTCAAGAAGCCAACTCCTGGCGCCGAGAATAGGGGGGGGGGAGGGGATGACAGTCCCAAGACGGTGGAAGGGGAGAAGCAGAAAGGCGAGAAGGAGCGGCGCCACAAGGACAAAAAGAAGGACAAACGGAAGGACAAAAAGAAGAAGGTGCGGAGATACAAATGGAAAACACCGCTGCAAATGCTTACGAACACATGAGATTCTTATGATTGGTTACGTGTTGTGTGTGTTGGTGTGAGAGCACCGCAATGGCGCGAAGCACCAGATGAGAACGTTCCGGTATAGTCGAAAGCAGCACAACAACACCAAACACCAGGGTACAAAGAAGTCAAGTTACAGTGGACAACATTGAGGACATGACTAAAAGCGCTAGGTACAAGATTTAGGAAGCATGCAGTGGGGCAGGTAGGGTGTTGGAGTGAGACAAGCCCTCGGTTCCCCCCGACTCTGAAGCTGTAGCCGGCGTGGGTATCTCACGCAGTACCACCGCATGCTGCACTTGGCCACGAGAATTCATCACTCCCGCGTCATGGCTCCAGCTGCGCTGACTGCTTCGCACTGCTTCACCCTCTATCGATACTCGATTCTATGCATTCCTGGTGCTGTTTGGGCATACGTCATGTTTGACAAGGCAGCAGAATCGTCTCTGATTGTCAAGGGGAAGGCAGTAGGAACGGTAGAAGGTCGTTTTCGCACGGCGCTTTATGACGCACACTGGCTCGGCATTGCCCTTGCGACCACTCATATCATGTTTGGGTTCTTGCTCTCCCGCTGCCTACTTGTTTCCCTCTCCGGTTCTCCGTTCGCCCCATTCAACCTGTCTCTGTCGTCCTGATTCCACTGGGTTCCGTTCTCTCCCGCCCCCTGCTTATCTTGCTGCTCTCTCTCTCTCCCTTTCTCTCTCTCCCTCTTCCTCTCCCTTTCCTTCTCCCTCTCCCTCTCCCTCTCTCTCTCTCATCCCTCCCCCAAACACCAACTCAAAATAAAGTCGTCCGACCACAACGATACGGAAGAACCCTCCTCCAAAAGGAGGAAACATCAAGCATCGGCAGGGGGCGACGGCGGCATGGATTGGATAGACGCCGCGCTAGCGGTCGGTGATGGCAAGGGAGTAAGGTTGGGGGAAGGCGAAGAGCCCACAGCTAAGGAGATTGCGGCGAAAAATCGCGAGGAGGTAAAGCTCATATTTTTCTTTTCTTCCGTTCAATGTTGTAGGCAAGCACCGCAGGAGGGGTGGAGGGAGAGGAACCCCTTTTGTGTGACCACAGGTTGGAGCTAGCTCCTACCCGGCCGAAATGCTATGGGCGTTGATCCAAGGTGATTACCAAAGAAAAAATGTTCATGATGAAATCCTGAGTTCCCTTCTCGGATTGGCAGTCGTTTCTCCTTCATGTCCACGGGTTTTTGTTTTCCAACAGAAACGCCAATCTGTGCCGCAAATATTAGTTTGATCCGACATGGACATGTAGACGGGAAAAGTGTGTTGTTGATACGACACACCATCGAAACAATGTGAAGACGTCGGACGTTAAGGCACTCCACCAATAGGTCTGTCTGTGGGGTTTTTTTTTTTGTTTCAACCCTTTCATGGTGAACGTGTAGTTCTCCTGCACCAGTCGCGAAGCGTTTTGGCGGCACCAGTCGGGGCGACGCAGAAAGTACTCCTCCCGCTGTCCATGCCTTATTTTACCTCCCCTCTCCAAGAGAAACTCAACAATCCTTTCGCCTCGCCATCAGTAGTCGCCCGGGTCCAATAAGTAGCTTCACCAGATAATCCCAGGCAGGGAGTGGGTCGTTCCGTAGACGAGCACGGAACGGAAGGTTCTCGAAGGTGGTTGGTTGGTGCGGCGATCCGTTTCCGCTTCCTCGCCCGCCCGAATCCCTCCCGCGGCGCTAGGTGAGGGATTTCCCGGGGTTTCCACCCGAGTGGATGTTTGGACTGTGGTTCTCTCCGACAATCCATGGATTGTAAATAGGCGCGTCCCGGCACTAGCACACTAGACGCTCCCGGTACCTGGGTAGCTACCATCTATCCAGCAGGTCAAAAAGACGGAAAGTGTCGTGCGCGTGTGGTCTGTAGTCAGGAGCTTTACCCATTTCTTCCCACCGTTTACCCTGGTTCTGTCTCTCCACACACACCATGCTTTTCTCCGAACGGTCTTTGGAACGGGCGGCATGGGAACAGGAGATCGACCTGGAAGTGGTGAAGGGTCTCAGGGACCCCAAAACGAGACGCAAGTAAGATGGGATCAAACCTATGGAAGTTCTCGACTGTGTTTCGCACTAAGCGTTGGTTTGGCGACGCCGCTTCGAGTGTCCCTTGTGGCATGGTTCTTGTCGTCATTTGTTGCCGTTGCTGTAGCTCCTTCGGCTGCTATTGCTGTCATCACCGCCCGTCACCCCTTATTTTTGTCATTTTTAGGGTATCCACCGGTCTTCCTTGGTCTGCAGTACCTGTACCGCGAGGATGTCATCGTTGTTGGGCGAATGAAATTAGAGGGGGTTTTCGTAACCCTAACCCCCAACCCAACCCCGTGTACCCCATACCGAAATCATGCTTGATAGCCTCGCGAAGGGTACTACTGCGTGCTGATCTTTGTCTTGAACAGGAAACCACAGGGATGGCATGGTCTCGCAGCGCCTGTGTAGTTTGGGTGACGCAGGATAGTTTCGGAAGTGGGAAGGCTCATCTATGTCTGCCAGACTGTGGTGGTCAAGGCCCCGAAGAGATCCATCTAGCTATGGTATCGCCTTTGGGAAAGCGAGCAAACGAATTCATAGCCAATCGAGACGCGTCACTCGAAAATAATTTTACCGAAGCTCAACGTGGCGCCCAACTCAGGACCAGGGTTATCACGAATACCGTCGACGACTCCGTGCATGATGATCCGCTTGTCCCTGCTCGTCTCGTTTCCCGGTCACCCCCAGATATGGCTTGTACGATCCGCTCAAGGGCGAACGAAAGGACGTGCCAGCCGGTGCCAGCGGCAGAACCGACGGGGGCACAGCGGGAGGGCTGAGGGGGGGGGGGGGGGGGGGTGGACTGCCCGCGACGTTCTCCCCTCCGAAGTTGACGGGCGTCGGCGACAAGGGTGCCGGGTAAGCGGATCTCTCTTTGGTCTGTACCAAGGGATTTCACCCACCCTCGCTGTAGGTGAAGCAAGACAATACACCTCCTGGAAAAAAATTGCGGCTCTCGATGGCCCCACAGCAACGAAGAGCGATAGCGCCGAAAATGTTGTCGGCGGTGGAACCGGCTCATCGAGAACTTCCAGAACGAATCATCTAATTTTTTATTGATGATTTTCGTAGTAGAGGGGGATATATCTTACGCCACCTACATACGTAGGTGGCCACTCGCAACAAGACCCGACTGCTGTATGGGCGCTCCATGAGCACTCAGGAGAGAATCATGCTGCGTTGGTGTTTTGCGGTGTCTGTTCGCGATCCTGCTTGGCATCTTCGATGTGCATTTGGCGCACCAACTCAACAATCTCGTTTTTTCCTGGGAAGGTGCGAGAGACGTGGGCTATGGAGCTACTGTAAGCTTCTGTACCTTGCAGCAAGAACGAATTCAAGGTCAACCCCTGCTTTTGTTCCCCCCCCCTCTCACTCCCCCCCCCCCCCCCCCCCCCCCCCCCCCCCCCCCCCCCCCCCCCCCCCCCCCCCCCCCCCCCCCCCCCCCCCC